TGGAAGCATTTTACCAGAGGGTTTTGGGGATGCCCCAGGTATATGGAGGAGGTTTGGAAGCAAGAATTGGTATTGTGGCTAATTATGCTCATGCAGCTGGGGATGCACGTGGGTGAGTGCAACAGGAATCCGTTCTTTTTCCCAAGTGTTAGTTTGTAATATTTTATCAGGTTTTGTCAACTGCTGGAGATTTTTAAACATGAAAAGTGGGGTGTGTTTGTGTATATGAGAGAGAGAGAGAGAGAGAAAGAGAAAGGAGGAGGGCAAATAAATAAATATTTGTTTCCTATTGCTGCCTGAAGTCTCCAGAACATCAGGGGGAGTCGTGGGATGGAGTACAGAGAATCAGTCCCTCGTTGGAGAAAGAAGTAAATAGAAGACAGAGCTAACCTTCCCTGTTTGTCAAGGGATCTTGCCAGAGGCCAACCGGAGCTGCTGAAGTGGCGTAGATGGCTTGGCTTTGCCGTGGCTGGCAAGCAGTGAAATGGGGCTAATGGATGCTACCCAGTTCTTGCCCCCTAAATTCCATTTTGCAGATAGAGATTAAGCAGCAGCCCTTTACCTCCACCCACTCACCCACAAGCCTATCAATACACAAAGGGCTGCAAGGAATAAAGTGGTGCCAAATGCCCAAGCTGCAACCATTTTTTCCTGTCTCTGAAGCCACATGGAGCTAAGCTGCCTTTGAAAGCCAGCTGGGGGTTCTTGGTTGAATTCATATAGCTTGAGCCCCCCCACCCCAATGTTGATTTGGAAGAGGGACGCTACTTGTACTACATCTGCTCTGCATCTGCTCATTCTACTATTGCCACTGATAAAACAGGTTTGGTAGGCTTTTATTTCTGTTTTTTGCTTTAATCCTGCAAGACCTGTTTGCCCAGAAGCACTAGAGTGGTGGATGCCTGAGTAATATTGAATGTGGGTAAATAATTGGAGTGGAAATAAAGAGAGGCAGTGTGGTGTAGTGCTTAAGAGTGCAGACCTGGGGCTCAGGGGACCTGGCATTTAGTTCCCACTCAGCCACTAGGCTCACTGGGTGTCCAGTCCTAGGCTCTTGCCTACCTTGCAGAGTTGTTGTTCTGAGGATAAAATGGGGAGGAGGAGACTCGTGTAAGTCACCCTGGGTCCCTGCCACGGCGCCCTGGAACCTTGCTTGTGCTGGCCATCTTGGAGCCTGCCTTGCTGGGACCAGGCTCCTGAAACCCATCATTCCCCACGAGCGGCACGTGGAAGGAGATGGCGGGCTGGCTCCTGCTCGCCCCTCGGGGAGGGCGCAGAGCTGCTGGTGGGCTTCGGGCCGAGATGCTCTCGCGGAACTGGCTGAACCGTGGCCTCGGGTGTGGGGGAGTGAGGGACTGCGGCAGCAGGAGCGGCTCGCGAGAGAGCAGCGGCATGGAACGAAACGCTGGGGCCACGTTCACGGCCTCGCTCCGCATGCCGGATCGTGCAAGCGGGGGGCTTCGCACAGTCCCGGCTGGTCAGGAGGCCGCTCCCCACAGCCCTCTCGTAATACGTCATGCTTTGGACAGTATTTTTATTTTTTATTTTATTAGAACATTTCTATGCCGCCCCTTGCCGAAGCCTCGGGGCGGCTTACAACACAATAAAATACAATAAAATACAAAAATAACAATATAAAATTAAAATTAACAATATAAAATAAATAAAAAATATAAAATGTAAAAGAAGTCGCCCTGGCCAGATAAATAAGCAAATATAGTTAACAATTAAAATGACGTTTAAATCAAAAGGTCTTCACCTGGCGCCGAAAAACAAATAACGACGGCAATGCACGGGCTGTAAAGTTGAAGGGAACCCAAAGGGTGAGATGCATCGACTCACACGGATTATCCTCCAAGGAAGCCCGGGCAACGCGGGCAACCCTTTTCTGCCCCATTTTATCCCCACAGCAACCCCGAACGGAAGGTTAGTGTGAGAGTCAGTGGCTGACCTTACGTTACCCAGTGAATTCAGGACTCGGTGACGATTCTAGCCCCAGATCTCCCGAGACCCAGTCCAGCACTTCGCCCATAGCGCTATGCTGGTGCTGATAGGAAGACTCTACCTTAATAGCGCACCTTCAGTGGGTTGCATTTTGGGGAGGTAAAAGAGACCCGTGGCAGCCTGAAGCCTAAAGAATTCATTTTAGGAAATGGCGAGGGACATGAAGGCCCGCTTTTAATAATTCCCCAGCCGTTCAGTTGCATTTGCTAGGCCTGGACGAAGGAAGGGCATCAATCCGCCACACGAGTCCTGGGAGTTCCATCTGGGGCAGGGAGATGAGATGCCATCTTAAATCTCCCCAGCCATTTGCATTTCCTGAGGGCAGTGGAGGCCATTGAACAGGGAGCCGTGGAGATGCATTTCGGGAAAGGGAGAGGGACAATGGCGGCACCATCCTCACATCCGTGGCATTTCCTAGCAGGCCGTTGTTTTCGGGGAAGCGCGTGTGTGGCATGTGATATTTGTTTGTTTATTTGCTTCTTGGTGCTGGTAGTGGGGGGTTAAGATCTAAATGAAACTGGTACATAATGCCCTCTGCCTGTTGGAAAGACTCGAGCCATAAAAATAACAAATGGCATGTATTTGCTCGAATGTCAAAGTTATGAGTTTATTTTGTAATGATGTGCTCCTGCCTTCATGAGGTAAACTGGCCGTGGCAGAGGTGTTATTAGTAATATGGACCCAGCGGAGCAGAAAGCCGAGTGACCGAGAGATCAGTGTATCAGTCAGCGAGAGGGCAAATGGGAAGAGACAGCAGGGGAATGAGAACCGGGCCGTGCGGCGCTTGGGCTGAGATTAGAAGAAAGGAGCCGCACAGGCGAGAATTGAGAGGCTGCTGGTCAGAGCCTCATTCTTATGAACTCCTTCAACGGAAATGCCGGGGGGGGGCGTTGTACTTGTTCATGTGGCATGAAATTCCCCCTCGCACACCCCTTCTTGTAGAGGGACAAGGTCATTTTCCCTCTTGTTCCATTCCAGGCCCCTTTGCTCTCTTCGTGCGATTCCGGAGGTCGTGTTAAGGAGTGGCCCGCGAGGGACGGAGCCCCGAATCTTTCATTTCGAGCCCTGGTCTGTGGGAGGCGGTCGGCCCACCTCCCAGTTATTTCTCAGCATTTGGAGAAATAAATGTCCAGGAGCTGCAAGGATCCCCGTTGCATCTGATCCTGCAAGATGAGCTGGGCTAATCTTGCTGCATCTCCTGCCACCCCGCAAATAATCTTCGTTTGAGATTTTTTCCTGAAATCAGACACCCTCCTCCTTCCCTCTCCATGTATTCCTTTGCTCGGACAAGGATGTCCTTAGGAGATATAGCCCTTAAAGCTAGAGAAACTTCAATTAGCATTTGCAAATTTGCACCTTTTAAATGTTTATTTTGCTTGAGCCATGGGTTGGGGTCTGAGATCTTTCTGGCATTAGCACTGCCCCTGTTCCTTAAGCCACTCGTGTGGGTTCTGTCGTTTCATGAGGCTGCCGGGGAAAAGGTGTGGGCTTTTGGTGTTCCCAAGACTCCCCACCACCATCCCTACTCCAGTTCTTTTAAATTTCTACCATACGTTTTAGAAATCAGGCTTCTTGCTGCTGGACTTGGAAAGGTGGCCTTGAAAGTGTGTGGGCTGCGCTTGATGAATCTCAGAAACACTCAAAGGGGGGGGGGTTACATTTTGAATAGATGATCAGCTTGGACCTGTTACATGGCAAATTACCTGTCCTGATATGGACCTATGTGGTCATGAAGGTTGTCAGAAGTCTTCCTGGTTGCATCACTTCCTGTCGGCTGCCATTTTGTGGCTACCTGGAACCGGGCTTTCTCTGTGATGGCATCCAAGGCAAGGAATGCCCTCCCCCTCTCTTTGACATGATTTAGGTGTTGGGTAAAGACCCCTCTCTTTACCCAGGGCTCGTGTGGGAGTTATGGTGTAGTCAGTACTTGGTTTTAAGTCATTTTAAAACAAACGCTTTCTGTAAATGCTTTTTGAAGTTGCAGTCCTGTGCATGGATTGTTGGGGTTGTTGCGTGCCACCGAGTCATCTCTGACTTACGGCAAACCCTATTAATGGTAGCCCCCCAAAATGTCCTCTCCTTGACATACCTGGATTTTTTATGGCCTCCTCCTGCATAAACCAACCTGTTCTTTCTTTCTTTATTATTTCATTAATTTAAAACTTTTATATGCTGTCACCACATGCCACGGCATCTCAGGACGCCTCACAAACCTACAATTAAAACGACTGAACAATAACAAATTCCATAACATTATATAAAAACAAAAACAAAAAAGCAACTGTTAACGATAAAATATTAATTTTTAAAATAGCAATTAAATAAAAAGGTTTTAACCTGGTGAAAAGAATATAAACTGGGCTCCAGGCACACCTCTCCAGGGAGCACATTCCATAATCTGGGTGCCACAGCAGAGAAGGCCAGTGTGTCTTTAGAGACAGTGTGGTGTACTGGTTAGGTTATTGAACAGAGAGACCCTGGTCAAATGTGCACGTATTTATTTCATTTATTTGTTTAAAACTTTTTTACGTCACTTGGCCATGAATCTCGCCAGGTGAAGTTGGACTTGCCACTGCCTCGCCTTCCCTCTCAAATTCACCTTCTTTGTAGGTATATTGGGAGAATAAAATAGGTGGGAAGAAGGAACTGTGTATACTAGTGCAGATTATTTTGGAGAAAGGTGAGAAAGAAGTGTAATAATAATGTAATCCTCATCATTTGAGGTTCTGCATGATTGGCAGTGGGGATTTCTCAATAGGTTTGGGAAAGAAGTTTTAAAAATTCCTTTCACAGTTTTAATTATTGCAGTTTGATGTGGTTATCTGTGTTCCTATTCTTTTTATGTGGATTGTTTTCTGCTCTTCACTTAAGCTTTTCTGCTATAGAATGGCATGGAAACTAGTTGAAATGTTTTAAATAGATAAATACTATTGAGCATAAAAAAAAACTTGAAAGAAACCCTAGATTAAGAGGTGTCTGTCTGTCTTTTCCAACAGGTGCTCGGAAGAGAAGTGTATACATCTAACAATCAGCTGGGCGGTATTCAGATCATGCACAACAATGGAGTGACTCACAAGACAGTTTGTGATGACTTTGAAGGTGTCTATAGCATTTTGCAGTGGCTGTCCTACATGCCCAAGGTACTTTCCCCCTCTCTTTAGTTTCGCTGTCCATTAGTGCTGTTAGGTGAGTTTAGACTCTGGAGTGAATGGAAAGCAGTAGGGTGCTTTCTTACGGTAACCTGCTGGGACCTTTGCTTCTTGCCTCCGGAGTCCTACCCTGTAATTTATTTATTACATTTCTCTACTGTCCCACAGCCAAAAGATATGGGTGGTTTATGGGTGGTTCATAACAATTAAACCCATGAAATAATGACCTGAAAAACACATGATGAATGTTTAAAGACGTGCTATTACAATATGAGATGGCATTCCTCTCGCGATGCTCGTAAGCAACCCCAGTTCAGAGGTTTATAGGCCCCCCCACAGAGTGGAGGCAATCTTTGCCATCCCGTCCTCCTGCATCGATTTTTCGCTTCTTGGAGTGGGAGGGAAGAGGGTTGGAGTGGCTTCCCGGCCTCGGAGAACAGCCGTCACATTCCGTACCATGCCGGCTGTGATGGAAAGTGGGGTGCAGCACCCGTTACTAGTTCCAAGGTTGGAATGCTTCTCCAGCCTTGGATCTGGGGAATCCGGGCTAACTTGTGGCCCCTCAGATGCTGGTCTAAGGATGGTAGGATTGTCCCATAAAATAGAGATGAAAAGCACAATAAAAAGCAGCAGCAATGGAGATATTTGCTTTGTACAGTAACAGATTGAAAACACAAACACAGTTTTAAAAAACTGCTAAGTGCCCCGCAGTATAAATAAATAAACCAAAAGACTAAAATGTTTGGGAAAACAAGGCTTTCGCCAGACATGGAAAAGCTTCTCTGGAAAGCAGATTAAACAATGGGGGTGGGGGGGGGCCACAGCAGAAAAGGTCCTCTTTTAAGTAATTGTAATGCAGGGAGAGTATCTCCCTTTCCATGACTGATGGACCGGCCGAAAGATACAGCTCCGCAAATGCCACCGAAAGTTAGGTGGGGATGGAGGCTCAGTGATCGGATGTGGGACCACAGGATATGATGAGGAGAAGGGACCACGCCTTAAATAGTAGCAGCTAAAAACTAAGAATGCTCCTTTCTTTTTATGTTATTTTTTTTTCTTTTAACTTCATGGAACGTTGTATAATACTAAAAAAATCCACGGCAACAACAAGGTAGCTGAATGAAGATAAGAAAATATTAAGCCCTTGGGGTGCAGTTTTATTGCAGTGATGGTAACTTGGAAGTTTCAGTTTCCTGTGCAGGGTGGGAGAGGTGCTGGAGGTGACCTTTGCTTCCCTGCCCCCCCATCCTGGCTTTTCTTTAGATTCGCCCGGTAAACGAAGGCAGCTTCCAGTGCCTAGCAGACTGTGGGCAAACACTTGAGCACCACAGGCAGTGAGTTTCCCTCTGTGCCCTCTTTCCTTTTCAGAGCGTGTCCAGCCCAGTTCCGGTGCTCCCGGTAAAGGACCCGATAGACAGAGCCATTGATTTTGTTCCCACCAAAACTCCTTACGACCCTCGCTGGATGTTGGCTGGGCGGCCTCACCCAAGTACGTATGTTTCTGAAAGTGGGGTACAATTTGGGATCTGCTGGAGGTGGGGATAGAGCCCTGTTTTGTTATAATGTACCCCACTAATGTATACCAATAGGGAAACCTGCAGAAAGTTGCTTCATGTTACCAGTAGGTTTAAATCTTCAGTATTCTACTCTGTGTGCATCTTCCCTTCTTAACTTGCTAGAAAGGAGTGAGGGTCTTGTTAGTACCCCCTCAGAGGAGATGACCTTTTCTCATCCGAGCCATGGCAGAGCCTGGGTTTAGTCCAGGGCTTCTTAACTTGTAAGGCAGATGTGTTGTTTTTGATCTAGGAAACTGGGTTATTTTTACTTCTTTTTGAAGCTTGTTGTGAGCTTGGGCACCATCTCTGTGGAATGGGTAATAATCCATTCCCGTTCTTTAAATGCGGCACTCCTTCTGCCGTGCATTAATCCCATATGCTACTAGAGAGCAATTTCTGGAGCATCTGTCTTTATCTAGCCAAAAGGGCATCACCCAGGCACAAGCTTGAAAGAAGGACACAAAAAATCTTTGGGGAGCGAACTTGCAGGGCTGGGTATCCAGAAGTAGCTCACTAAGGGTTAAGTGTTGTGCTGAATTGAGTGAAGAGGGCTGGGATTGGAGGGAATGAAGAACTGTGGAAAAGGTTCCACGGTTCGCAGCCCTGAACCCTGAGCAGGGTCCTTCGATCCTGCAAACACGGAGTTGCAAATTCAGCGTGAGCTATTCTGTCACTAACTGTATTTTATGGCTGTGAGACACAGAGCAAATAACCAGCCTACGATCAGCTAGAGAAATCATGGCAGAGGTAAAATTTGAACCAGGGACGTCCTGAGTAGGGCTGTCCTACAACCTAGTGCTTGGCTAGGTAGAGTAAGATGTGTGGTGATCACAGTTTTTATGGCAACTCGTTTGGTTAATATTCCCCCCTTTTCTCCTGCCCCTCCACCCAGTCATCTCACTGGCAATTCATCTGGCATGTCCTGAGCATGTATGTTCCAAATTGAGTGACTTCAGTTTTTTAATTTAGCAGCGGCGTTAAAGGGAAGCAGATGATTCGCTGTGATAAGTTAAGGGGAGAGATCTCCTAGGTGAAAAGTTAAAACCGTTTATTAGGAGAGATAGTGCTGCGATATTCTTCAAACTGACGCTCAACACGAGGCCTAGAATCGAAACGATCAGCTCTGGACTTGGTGATGAAGAGATAATTTTGAAATGGATGGTCACATTTTACAGCAGGGGGCCACAGAGGCAGGGAACATTAGAACATAGTAATTTCAAGTTTGGGCTTGATAAAACACTTTCCATCCCGTTGGAGTCAGCAGAGGTTGGCTTGCTCAGATCTCCACTTTTAATTGCTTTTGCACTTGGCTTTGGAGAGCTGGGGACGCCTGCTCAAAATTATAGCATTGCAGAAGAGACTAAGTGTCAAAGCCCCCTTCCTCCTTTTTCCCCCAGAAGCTTTGCTGCCCCCCTGCATGCAAAGAAACTCCGTTCTCCTTGAAAAGGGCAGTGTTTCAACCTCAGGGGCCCAGCCAAGGCAGTTGGCTTTAGATTTGAGACCATGTAGGAAGAAATAGGACCATCTCTGTCAATGATGATGGGCAGTTGGTTGAGATGGGGTGCAGAAGAGAAGCAAATAAAGGGTCACCCGCCCCTTCTCTGTGGCCATCTTGGGCCTCTGAATGGGTGGGTGACGGGTCGGTTTCTCTCCCCAGTCCGTGAGCCAGGACGATTCTTGCCGCTGTTCTCTCTCCCCATTTGGGAACCTGGCGGGACACGCAGGTTCTAACTGCCCTTCACTGGGTGACACAGCAATCTCGTTCTCGCCGCAGCGGAAGCCCTCCCCTGCAGGCTGACGGGGGAAAGCACTTCAGAGCAGTTAGCCTGGTGCTCTTCCTATCAGGCCGGAGGCTGCGAGGCCTCGGTGCGGCTCCAAGATGCGGCACTGGACGCTGGGGAGGCTCACTGCACCACCTGTGGAACCTCGACAAAGCCCTGGCCATTCCTCTGGTGGAAACCATACAGACGGCACCAAATTTTCCTGGGCCGTGGAGGGCAAGCAAGGTGCATACTTTCCGGCAAAGGGTTTTGCTTGTCTTCCTCCCCAGTACGATCCACTCCCCCTTTCTCTTCGTCGTGGCCCACCTCATCCAGAAGGCTTGGCGTTGCTTCCAGACTTGCTAGGCTCGTAAAACGATTCTCCACAAATTGGGGCCCCTGGCAAGCTCACCTAACTGTGATACCAGTGCTCCATGCAGGACTGGGTAGCCAGGTACTACTGCATTGTTATAGCACAAATCACGTTTAACCTAAGCTTTAGCTGAAACAGGCTCCCAGACTTTACAGAAAGACATCCCTGCCCTCAGAGTGGCAGTCTAAATGACACAGCTTGTGAGGAAAAAGGATTCAGGAGGGAGGAGGAAAAAGGCAAACTTGAGGGTGTGTTCTTTTAATCCCCCACAAGCCCCGAGATGAAGCTAGGTCGGGGCATTTGGGAAGCTGACTCAGGGTGCTGGGCCACCCATACGCAGGGGACTCTGCCGTGGCCTCGGCACCCCAGCCAGCAGCCCCAGATGTCAGGTTCTTGGGCCAGCTCTGGTCACAGGAAAAGGCATCCTTTCCCTTCCTGCTAACCGATGCATCTTAGCTGGGGGTACCTGGCTTAGGAATTAAGATATGTCACATATGCAAAACACCTTCCCGAAAAGGCGGGTCCTGCACAAATCACTAGTGTATCTGCACAAATTATGTATTACATAATAGCATTAATTGTTGTTTTTACCTTTTTATTACTCCATATTAGGAGGAGGCAGGGGGAATCCCTGTCAGTTAGCTTTGAAATAACAATAAAGTCAGTACATTTAGAACTCAGAAAAGTCCTGGAAAGCAATGTCCGTAATGGCATAGCTGTCTTTTGACAAGCGTTTGCCATGTCTCGGAAGAAAGAAAGAAAGAAAGAAAGAAAGAAAGAAAGAAAGAAAGAAGGAAGGAAGGAAGGAAGGAAGGAAGGAAGGAAGGAAGGAAGGAAGGAAGGAAGGAAGGAAGGAAGGAAGGAAGGAAAGAAAGAAAGAAAGAAAGAAAGAAAGAAAGAAAGAAAGAAAGAAAGAAAGAAAGAAAGAAAGAAAGAAAGAAAAACACCCCGTAGAGTTATTTATTGAAAAGCAGGCAAATTCCCTCTGCTGCCTGTGTCCCCTCGTTTAACAATAAATGATGCCTTCTGCTGATAAATGGCCCTCTTTATGCAGACAAGCAAATTAAAGAGACAACCATGGCTGGGGACAGGCAGATGGTTCTGTAGTCTTAATATGTACCTCTCGGTACAATCCGTTCGATGTGCGGCAGCATCTCTGGGGAAGTCCTTGCAGCGTTCGTGCCGGCACCTTGTATGTTGGTGGCGAGCTTGAACGACGGGCTGCGGCTTGTGCTCTTGGCTCCTCAGAACGCAAAGCAAGGCTGAGCACATACAAAGGCGAGGGAGTAGCACCTGAGCTGCTCTGGCTGATTGGTGCAAGGTGATGCCGTCCGTTTGGCGGTGGCGCTTGCGATTTGTTTGCATTAGCCGGCACTGGCTGCCAGATGCACAGGCTAAGTCGCAGCCTGAGGCGTGATTTCTTTGTTCCTGGACATCCTTAAAATGCCGCACACATTCAACACCTGTGCAGATACTAAAAGACAGGGTAGCCCCTGCTTGAGAGCTCACGCTCGTAAAGCTAGGTGAAGCAGAAGGTAAAAAAGCACGCGCAGGGAAGAGGAACTTCGTGGTAGCCGCATCTTCCCCGGAGGAGGGATGGGGCCCGGGTGGCCCCGTTGCCGTCCTTACCGGTAACGAGGCCGTGTCCCATGGACAGAGGCCAGACCCTTTCGGCTTTCTGGGGCAACCAGGTCAAGGCCTACTGTGACATTATTCCGCCCCTTGTGAGAGCTGCCTCCCGCACACACCGTTTGTTTTTCTCTCCTTGTGCAGCTCAGAAAGGCCAGTGGCTAAGCGGCTTCTTTGACCACAGCTCTTTCCTGGAGATCATGCAGCCCTGGGCTCAGACCGTTGTGGTTGGCAGAGCCAGGTAAGCTGTAGTAAATCTGTTTGTTTGCTTGATATGCATCCCACCCTTCTACCAAAAATGGCTCTCAGGCTGGCTTACTGTCTCTAACCAAACTTTTTAAAGATCCTAAGAAAGCAAACAGAGGGAGAGACCATTAAGACAATGCAGCAGCAGAATAAAAGCCACCAGTTCAAGAGGCCTATTTACAGTTCCAAGGCCCACTTGAGTAAAATGGTTTTTGACCGCTGGCTGAAGGGCAGCAAAGGGGACCTGGGCTACCCTCCTTCCACTGGAAGTTCCACCCAGAAAGCCCTCTTACGTGTGGCCAGCAAATGTGCTTCTGAAGGCAAAGGTCTGATACTCAGAGCCTCTTGGTCTGACATTTAGCATTTGTAGGCTGCTTCAGAGTAGTCAAAGTGCTTTAAGTTCATGCTTTTCTTGTCATTCTTACAACAGCCTTCTGAGGTAGGTCTCTATAATTATTCCCATATTACAGATGGGAGGTTTGAGGCTTGACTAAACAGTTTGGTGAGTTCAAGTTGAGATAAAATTTGAATCGGCTCATTCATAGATCGCAGCCGAAGTAGTAAATAGAATAAAAGTGGAAAAGCACTTGTACTTAAAAAATAGTCACTCTAGAGACTGCAAATTTGGAGCCAGTGGGGTAGGGTTTAAACCTCTCCTTTCCATGCTGTTTTCCAAATGAAAATCCTCTGCACGGAACCTTTAGAGCACCATCCAGATGGATGCAAAAGAATAACTTGTTAGGGGGCCCGGAGGGCATTATTGGGAAAATAGCTCAGGCAGGGTATCCCTCTGATCACATGCGTGTGCCCGCGTGCTCACGTTACAGTTCAAATTTGGTTATAAATGGTTATCTAAAGGAGTGCCTGCGTCCCTCTTTGCCCTCCCGCCCCTTGAGATCGGCGGCAGAAGCCCTCCTCCGGGAGCCCTCTGTGAAAGATATTAGGAGGGTGAGTACCCGGAGGAGGGCCTTCTCTGCGGTGGCACCCCGACTATGGAATGCGCTCCCCAGAGAGGTCCGCCTGGTGCCGTCGTTATTTGTTTTTCAGCGCCAGGCCAAGACCTTTTTATTTAAACGATATTTTAGTAATTGTTAATTTTATTTATTGGTTTTAATTATTATACCAGGATGTTTCCAGTTTTTTATGTATTTGTATAGTTATTTATTTACTTGTTGGAAGCCACCCCAAGGCTTATGGGAAGGAGTCAGCATACAAAAATTCCAAATAAATAAAATAAATAAAATTTGGAAATACTATCTAGTTGGGTACTCAGTCTCTTAGATACCCTGTTCCATCTGTTTATATGTAGAGTTGTAAAATCCATTCCAGACATGTTTTGTAGTGTATCAGGCAGCTTTTGTCCTGCCCGGGAATCCCATCCACTTTTTGACTGACCTGGATTTGGCTTAAATTCACACTTGTGCTAATTTGCACTTCTGAAAGTGCACAGATCCCACCAAAACATGCAAATACCTGAAGTATCCATATTTCCGCTCATTAGCCTATGGAGGTAACACCCATTTTTAGTCAGTTTTTAAATTTTATGTCTTTTTCTAACAATAAGAATAGAAATGGTTTGCCAACTCACGCATGACTTGGGAAAAGCCAGTCTGTTGCAGGACCTGCAGGTTGTATTCTCAGCGCTCCTTTGAGCCCACTGCAGATTCCTCTGAAAACCCTCATTTCTCTCGTAAAGCTACAAAAGGGATTTAATTGGCACAGGGAAACCAGTGCAGCAGGTCGGGGCGAACTTCTCTCAGTTGCTGGTGCTATTCAGGCGTAGTTGTGCCTGCTCATTTGAGCCTTACCCTTTGGGCATTGCCTCACATTTTGGGCCCTGCCCCTTTTGTTAAAGGAAGCGATATGAAGTAATCAGCTGATCTGAAGTATTATCAGATAATATATCTGATAAAAACTAGCGATAGTGTACAGGGTGCTTCCCCCACCGTGGAGCAATTCCAGCCGGTTCCGCATACTTTCAAGCTCTTCAGATTCCTTGCATCTCCTATCATGACACGAGTGTTAGTTCTTCTCCTTTAGAGATTAAAAAATTACCCATGCTTCCAAAAAAGATTTAAGCTGATAAGTAGCGAGGCACTCCGTTACCAGAGCCAAGCCTTCGTCTAGAACTCACTTTCACAGGACCATTGACTTGTCTCGACCAGGTTAAGCCCTGGCATACATGACATCACTGCTGAGAGTGCCTCTTAGGCATGTGCAGAGTGCAGCCCCCTCCCTGCACTGTAAGTTAGGTCCCCCTCCTCCCGCAGCTTGATGCAGACCATGCGGCTTATCACAAGGTGATCCTGAACATGACTGCGTAGAAGTCGGCACGGCTGTGTCAAGTGAGATGCACTCCCATCTGAGCCCGTGTGGGGGATTGCAGCCTTAATCGGCCTTGTGGGGCTGATATATGGAGGGATTTGGAATTGAACTTGGCAGCATTCCACTTGTTTGCTATCCTTATTCTGGGAACTTCAGAGACCAAATGTTAAACCCACCATGCTGTACTGCAAGAAAATAGAGCAATTTCCACACACCAAGGCCGCTAGGGCTCCACTGTGCATGCCGTATATCATCTCCGAAGTGAAAGGTTTGCTGAAACTAGCCGAGCAAGAAAGCTCTGTACATTTCTGGGGTGCTTTTCTCTCTCTTTCCCTCCCCGCCCAACAGGAAATTGAAGTTCTTACTCAATTATATTACCCACTGTAAAAAGAAGTCTGGGTTCGAAGAGTTATGCCGGCCACATAGAAACCGCGACTCATTCCAGTCTCTCTTTGCATAGCCCCGTCTGAATTTATATGTCTTGGTCATGCCGAGCTGTGACGGAATAAGCGCAGGGAGGGCAGGATAGGGCAGTGGGAAGCAGCCTGCACAAAGACTCTGGATTGCTTTTTGGTGTGTGTGTGTGTGTGTGTGTGTGTGTGTGTGTGTGTGTGTGTGTGTGTTTTAAAGCCACCAACGGGACTGATTGTTTCAAAACTGATGGCAGCCGAGGGGAAAAAAAATAATGTGGTCTTCTGGGACTGTTACTCTTAAGTGCTGCCAAAACTCATCTTTTTGTATGTCTGTTTGGAAGATGTGCATTGTTGGCTGTAAATTGTCTTTTTTTATTATGCCCCAGCACCTTGTCGGGGGACACACAATAAAACAAGATGTAGCATCTTCGCAGGCTGTCCCTGATAAAAAAAAATAATAATAATACTAATGTGCAAAGAGAAAACAGAAGTTGCTGGTTGTGCCTCGGCCCTTCTGCTCCCCCCCCCACTCCCTCCATCTGTCCCCTCAATAAATAACTGTAATACGCAGGATAAAAATGTTCTTTTATGAGCTCGCAGGAGCCCTCACACAGAAGATGTAAGTCGCCGCTTTAAGGGAGAGCCTGTGCCGATAACTTCCGTAGCCGCAGTCCTTTTTATTGGAAGCAGCAATATTTACAAAGCCCATGGTGCACGGTGACCACGGTTGCCTAGCTCACGTGGGGGGGGGGCTGGCCTTGAGAGCACCGAGGAATTGGAGGGATGTTGTCTTGTAAGATGGGCTATAAAAAACTGGGGGGAAGAGGGAAGTGGCATTTGTCAGTACAAGCGAATGACCTCCGGCACGTGTCAAACCGTCATTCCGAGGAAAGGCAGGGGCATGAGACGGATAACAGCTTAGGGACCCAGGAAGGTAGTGCCCAGCAGACAGCAGGGACTCTGCAGGACTGGGCCGCGGGGCCATCGCGTCCCGTGTTCTGTCCGCAGCGTGGACAGACAGCCGCCTGCGGGAGACCCACAAGTCGCAGCACCCTCCCGCCGACCGATGCACGTGGGCTTATATAACCGCCTCTGATTCTGGAGGCAGCAGAGAGCCACAGCGGCCTTCTTCGAGGATGTGGCACTTCGCTTTTAAAGCCATCCAGGTCGGTGGCCATAACCGCGTCTCCTGGGAGGTCAATTCCACAGTTGAACCCTCCAGGTACCGAAGGGGCCATCCAAGTCCGTGGCGGGCGAACTTCCTCGAGGCAAGTGCTCCATGGCCGGAGCGGCACGATGGAAGGGGCTGGCCCTGGCAGGCCTTGCCGTATTCCACTCGTCCCCCATGGGGAGTGCAGAGTGTTCCGGTCCGCCAGGGGCAGGGCTTTGCTCACAGCTGTGCAGTCAGGACCCAGCCATCCCCAAGTCCTTTGCCTTCCAGCAGGGGTAGCTTGGATTGCTGCTGGGAAATGCCCCCCCCCACCCCGCCGGCAGCACCTGTGAAGTTTGCGGTTCAGCTCGGGAGTGGGAGGGCAAGCAGCAGGCGGGGCTGGAGATGCTCCTGGCCCCGCTTCCTGCGCTCGTGCGGCTTGAGAGGCTGGGGCTGGGCTGGGCTTGGGCGCCTGCTCGGCTCAGCATCCTCACTGTTGTTCTACCAGGCTCGGTGGCATACCTGTGGGAGTGGTTGCTGTGGAAACCAGGACTGTCGAGTTGAGCATCCCTGCGGACCCCGCCAACCTCGACTCAGAAGCCAAGGTAGGTCTTGCTGCTGAAGACCGTGTGGCCAGCGGGTGTTGCCGTTAAGCAGCCCACCTGCAAAGTGCCCACTGGCTTCCCCCTCTTGTTCCTCGATGGCTCTCTCATAGCTCCAGTTCTGCTAGCACGCACTACCAGAATTAGCAGATCCAGGGAGTGGTGGGTATTGTCATGAGCCACGAGTCATAAACGTTTGGGAAAGTCACTCGTTTTTCCTTGCATATTTTCATCTGTTTTTTTTCTCACTTTTATTCATTCATTCCCACAAAGTACATTAGAAAAAAAGAAAAGGAATAAATAAAAAAAAGATGCCAAGGGATATTCCACAACTACAGCATGAAATTTCAGTATCTCAACATGTCTGTAAAAAGGCAGAGAGTAGTTTGTTTGTTTGTTTGTTTGTTTATAATTTTTGTATCCCATCCTATCGCAAGAACCTTGGGATGGCTTACATACAATACATAAACAATAAATACAAATAGTGCAAATTAAAATCCAGATTCACCCTGGCTGTAAATTAAAAACCCATAGGTGATATTAAAAATGGTTAAAATATTGTTTAAATAAAAAAGTCTTAGCCTGGTGCCGAAAAACGCATAGATCTTTTTGTTAACTGCTCACCTGTAGCTTTCTGGAAAATGTCTCCCCTCCCCTCCCCTCCCCTTGCACACAACAGGTTATCCAGCAGGCTGGGCAGGTGTGGTTCCCCGATTCTGCCTTCAAGACAGCTCAGGCTATCAAGGACTTCAACCGGGAAGGGCTCCCATTGATGGTTTTCGCCAACTGGAGAGGATTCTCCGGAGGGATGAAAGGTGACGATTTTTTAAAACAGGGCAGTAAAAAATGAGGAATGGCCAGAGGGTGACAAGAGGGCAGATGATGGCGATGATCGATCTCATTCCTATGCGGCCCGTAGCCAAACCTCTCTGGGTGGTTTACAGCAAAGTATGAAAACAATAAAATGCGATAGATGAAAACCGAGGCGACTGCCGCAGCTCCGACTTGGCTGAAAGTAACTGATTGTGGGCATATCACTTGGAGATACCAAGACAGTATGGTTGGATGCAGTAGGCATGCGTGGGGCGTGGCACATAATATTTTTCCTACCAGGATCGCTCATGGCCGGGAATCTGGCCAGCTCTGCCTCTCCACTCCTGTGCCCCATCATCCCCCTTTCCAGCTGCCGCTCAGTATTTCAAGGCACAGAGGATGCTCGGATATCACGAGGGCACTTGGGAGAGTTACCCCAATCTCCTTTTTCTGCACGGGCCCCATTTTGCCTCCCTTCGTTGAGTGCTTGCCACCCGAGCTCACTGTTAGAAGGACCGATGGGCATTACTGTACGCACACATGTTAAAAGTTTCAGAAAAGGGTTTGTTCTCAGAATGTTGCCCAGTGAATCCTGGAACAGTAGAGTCGGAAGGGACCAGAGGGCCATTGGGTCTGGCCCCCTGCTCGATGGTAGACCATCCCTCTCAGAGGCTGTCCAGTGGCAGGGGCACTCAGTTGGTTCAACAGGACATGATAGGTCAGTGCCTGTAAGGAAGTCTTTCTGTTTGCCCATAGGAAATTCCCCGCCTTAAGTTGGCACGGATGGGAGTACATTTGTCCCGTATTCAGGGAAAGATATTCTGTAAGAGCTCCAGGGCAGTTCTGTCTGGTAATGAATGTTTGTATTGCACTTTGAAGCACTCAAAGCTTGTCCTGAGCATAATTGTAATATTACAATCCTGTTAAGATAGGTGACTTTTATTATTCTTTCCCTCCTCCCTGTTTTTATAAAAGAAGTGGAGTGGACAAAGACTGAGAACATATCTTCACAAGGCTATTACTTCCACTTTGCCCGCTTCCAGTTTCATTGCAGAACTGAGATATGGATACTAGGAAGTGTTCCCTTGCCTGCTTTTCTAGCACATATCCTCTAGGTGGCACTGTGGTATTGCAGAATAGCACAAATATACAAGAGGAAATTGTTCCTTTTTTGTTTTCACAATTATGCACTTTCCTTGTACTCTTTCCTGATGGTGGTACAGCTACACTTCATTTCTGTGTCTTAAAGAAACTGCAGGGAGTTGACACCATTTCTCTAAGCAGATAATGGCAGAAGAGGATGCATTACCTGGTGCTGTAGTCACCAGAAGTTTCATACAAAACTGGCCATGACAGTGGATCTTACAGATCTCTCTTGTGAGGAAGCCCACCTGAAGAAAGGCCTCATCTTTATATGAACTTTCTTTAAGCAGATAGAAATGTGGACATTATCCAAGGCCTGAGAACCCAGGATGCGTGTTAAAGAGAGCATCCACTGTCCACTTTCCCACGGTCCGTAGAGAAAAGCTTGCTATTTTGGCTGCAATGCTGGCTAGACAGCCATGGGAGGCTGGAGTTGCGGGGGTAGGGAGGATTAAACGGAAGGTGAAAATAAACAATTATACCACCCCTTGGTGCGTCTAAGAACCCACAAATACACGCATATGTACACACTCACCTCCAAGGAGCGGCTGCGCTGTGGGTAAGATGACTCTGAAATTGTGTGTAATGAGTAGGAAAAGATGAGGGATCGCTCTTGCTTATGTTGAGAATTGACATTAGTGGAGGAGGGGGGGAAACTCTTTACAAGCCAGCCTAGGAGGTCTAATTTAAGCTGTGGTGTGTTTGTGCATGTGTGGGCTTGTGCACATATATTTATCTACATACCTTTTTAAAACCGTATGATAAATAACAGCATGTTGAGAGAGGGTACGATTTGCCTGCCACTCGTCTTGCTGCAAGGCTGTTCAACATAATGCAGAAATTAATTTTTTTAAAGAATGCCTTGAATATTTAGATGGAGGGAAGCAGTTTATTTAGACGAACCACCAATGACCCACAACAGCGAGGCATCAAGCGTGAAATTTACTCGAAATTAGCACCGGGGTCTCAGGCTCAGCGTGAATAGGGCTGATAGGATGCAAATCCCAAAGATATTAAACCGCCTCGCTGATAGCACTATGGGGTCGCTCTTGGTTGGTTTTTCATGCTGTACTTATTATTCCCCACCCCCACCCCTGGGACAGGTTATAAATAACAATAAACAAAGAGGAATGGTTACCAGAGACTTTAACCAGAATAAAAAGACTTTAAAAAACAGCAACACTGATTACTTGCCTGTTTGTATCATGGCAGAGCCCAGGAGTAATGGATTTAAGAGGCTCTTTATCTGAACGCGATGGATATATTGCTCTGCGTGTGTGCATATGCATGTGTGCATTTGCTTTTTTTCTGTGGGCTGCAGCCAAACCACTGAGCAGATTCCTGTTAGACTTGATGGACATGGCAATAGAAAAGAGAGCACAGGCGCCGAGCTAAGGGGAGCAAGCCCAGGAGTTTGGCTGGATTAATCTGGTGGCTCTGAGGTAGAACTAAGTTTGGAGTTTGCACCAAGTTGGTCTTAGCAATTCTGGACGGATGCCGAGATGTCGGATGCCGGCCTGAAATTGCAAATCTCTTCCAACCATCACTGTGTATACAACCCAGTTTGGGGCTGACAGTCTCCTGCTTCTATTTCCTTTCTCGTCATTTTAAAGATAACAGATACAGAGAAAATGTCCCTGCCTGTGATGGTCACTCATATATCTTTGGTCTCCCGCTGCTATAAACGATTCCTCTATTCTCCTTTGATGCCTCTGGACTTGGGATGTGTTGCCAGCAATGCCGGGCCACCTTCCTCTCTTTCATTAAATCTCTCTGCATAGCCCAGCTCTCTCCATGAAGCCTTTGGCTCGAACCCCGTGGTTTCCATCCCCAGGCACAGTGAAGCCTGAATCTATTTAACACCTATGGGGAAAGTGAAACAGTGGAACACATGCTTCGCCTGCAAAAGGTCTTCATCTCAGCCCTGGGCTGGGAGAAATCTGGTCAAGGCCAGCGTGTCGTGCAGGCCGGAGGTTCCACGTTGGATCTCTGGTGTCTCGGTGGAGACCGGGAATCTTCCCGTGCGCAGCTGTCCCGTGTCCCACCATCGCCTTTTCCATTCCTCCGTTGTCTCTTGCATTGTTTAGATTGTTTAGATTGCATTGTTTAGATTGTTTAGACAGTGGCCAGGTTCTGTTGCAAATGCTGTAAAATGCCAGCCGCCTTGGTAGTGCTCATCTGTATAATGGGGTTGTATTTGTAAGAATCTCTAAGCAGTTTACTAGGAAAATGCATTACAATGCATTAAAGTGATATTCATGAAAATATTTAGAGAATGCTCAGAGTTCGCAGAGAAGCTGGGCAGGTTTGCTAAATCAAGGCAGACTGGGGAAAGGAGGCGAGTCTTTAATAGGTGCCTGGAACATGCCCCAGATGGCGCCTCCCGAATGCCAGGTGTGGGGGGCATTCCGCGAGTTAGAAGGCCTGCCTCTGGGTTCCTGCAAGAAGGGGGCTTGTGCAGCTGAGTCAGGCCTTGCTCCTTTAAAAATAGAGCCTTTCCCTGGAGAACCGCTGGAGTGGCTGGACACCTGTGCTGAGCCACAGACCTGCATTCTGGCCCCCTCTCAAGCCACCCCACTGACGGGGTGGCTGTGGACCACTTGTTGGCTCTCGGCCTCCCCTTCCTCACCGGGTTGCTAAAATGGGGAGGAGCAGGAGGGCTACCTAAAGTTCCATTGCAAAGAGGGCGGTTTTGAAAAAGCCTTCCTTGACTAGCTTTTTCTGCCTGGCTCAGCATTTCTGCCTATTCTAAACGCATTCTAACCATCAAAATCATACCAGGACACCTCATTTTTCTAATCCTAATCCAGTGATGGTGAACCTTTTAGAGACCGAGTGCCCAAACTGCGACCCAAAACCCACTTATTTATCGCAAAGTGCCAATACTGCAATAAAACCTGAAAACAGCCAGTCCAAGCAAATATACATATATCCTTGGCAGCGCGCTGACCGGCCATGTGAAAGCTTGGACGAGTCGCAGCTAATGTGTCACGGCTCGTGGCATCATTGCCTGGCACAACTACTTTCCGAGCATGCGCATGGCCCCTGTGTGCACTGTTATCCGATGCTCGGCTGCCAGGGTGATGCTGGGGCGACTTGGCCCGCGTGCCGACAGAGAGGGCTCTGCGTGCCCGCGGTGGCACGCGTGCCATAGGCTCGCCACCACTGCTCTAAGAGGATCTGTGGGTCTGCGCTGGTGGTTCAGCCAGGGCACTCTTGGTGCAGGGCTCAGTGTACTCAGGCTGTGCCAGACCGAGGTCATCCAGCCCCTGTAATTTGAGCACTGGGGGCAGGTGGGGTTTGGTGACCAGAGCACAGGACAGGTGCTTGGGGGGGTCCAGGTTCTAGTCCCCACTGGCCATGACGCTCCCTAGGTGGATTTGGGCCAGTCCCGGACTCTTAGCCTAGCCAACTGCACAGCATTGTTGTGAGGATAAAAGCACCCTGTAAGCCGCCTTGGCTTCCTTGCAGGAGAACAAAAGGCAGAGTATAAATGTAATAATAAACAGCGCTTGACTGTTAAGTTGATTCCCTGTGCATCAGAGTGTATAAAATAGTTACAGAATAAATGAGAATTTGTTTCTTTCACATCACATCTCACCCTTTTAATATCTCTGTCTCCCTCTTTTGCTCATCCTGCTTCTTTTGAGTAAAATACACACTCATGGCAGAAGTGAAAAACGCCACACTAATTACGCAATTATTTTATTATGTAGCACTACTAAAAAACGTCTACTAAAGAATTAATTTGGTTAAAATAATTTGAATCGAGCAATTATTTTCTTAACACTGGAATTAGCTGAAAGGAGCTTCAAGTGGTTTATTGCTAGCACTACATAATAAAGTGATTGTTTAATTAGCAATAAATTTGTCATTCGCGTTCTATTAAAAAAAGGAAAAGAAAAAAGAAAAAAAAGGACTGTTTCTTTCACCCAGAGATGACATTAAAACCAAAAAAAGTTTCTCTTCTTTGCTGTTAGCAGTTTTGAACTTGATATTTTACATTCACATGAGAACAGGACCTGAAAATCCATCACGAATTATATAAATTTTTCCAGTGTTTTTGTTTTTCCTGTATTTTTACTTTCTGTGATTGAGTATTACCAAAAACGTTAGATAACATCTGAACCTGTTAACCTATTTCTAATGTCCAGAGCGAGGTGCTGTATGTGATACGATGCATATATTCAGCAGAAAATGTTGAAGCTCAGGCATTCCTCATTAGAGTCACCCTGGCCTAGGAGAGTCTAAAAATGCAGGCCGTAGGGTGGATCCATATCAGACAACCAATCCCGGCAATTTTCCATCTTCTCCAGGAGCACAGGTTTTGTAAATGAATTTGCTCTTGATTTGGCGTTCAAGCTTGCCAAGGCAGCCCAAAATAGTTTGGGAACAAGAGAAATCCATTTCTGCCCCAGCTCCCATGAGGATTGTGGCAAAGCTCCGAAGAAACGGAGGAAGGGTGTCTGTGGGAGCAGCCAGGGAACATCAGCAGCCCTGCAGACTTCACTTCCGTTGCATCCCTGGATGGATGTGGAGACCATGGCTTGGATGGTTTTAAAAAGGCATTGGGCCTCCTGCTTTGTAAATTCGGGAGAACCTCCATATTCAGGAGCAGTGTGCCTCTGAGCTCAGCTGCTGTAGAGGTTGAATGGGAGGGACGATAGAGGTGGCTTTTACTGTGATGCGGAATGTGATGGTCCCTCAGTCTAGTCCAGCAGACTGGGATGTGGGGCGGGGGGAGGTCTTTTTAATGCACAGAACCCGGAGTGTATACAGCGCATGTGCAAAAGGCCGGCGTATCGTCAGGGCCGTGAGTGTGTGGCCCGCAAGCGGAAAGCCCCCCCACCCCCGCCTTGGTACTGGGCATTAAGAGTCCGTCTCAGCTTTTTTAGATGAGTCCTTTTCTGGCCCTTGGAGTTCTTGGCCTCATTTGTGCAGGTACCCCAACATTAAGCACGACTGTGGGTGCCCCGCTGTTCCATGGCTTGCTTGTGTTTTTGGCCGAGGCAGGGAAAGTTCGGTCCTCCTCCTCGTGGCTGCGTTCCTAGTTCTCCTATGTGCGGGAGAGATGCTTGGTGCAGTCTAAGCGCCCGTGGAGGTCGTGGGTGTAGCTCTGCAGCTCTGTTGGCACTTTGGCGGCAGCCTTTCTCTCATGGAGAAAGGGCTCGGCCGGCCCCAGGGGAGGTGGGGTGGCACTGGGGGTGGAATTAGCCCCGGAGAGCTGGGGGATGCACCCCGTGGACCAAATTAGGCCTACGGTATCCCCACATCCGCTGCCATCGAATCCCACGAGTTACTCCTTCTCGTTAATTCTGTTTCCACACTGCCTAATAGCCGAGCCTCTCTGGGGTGGCTTACAGGAATTGAAGCCAAAGTGCACCGGGCGTTTGTGGGCTGGCTTTTGTGGCATGGGTCTTGCCCAGTTCTTACTCCTCTGTCCTTCCCCGATCTGCAGACATGTATGACCAAGTGCTGAAGTTTGGGGCCTACATCGTGGACGGCTTGCGGGAGTACAAGCAACCTGTCCTCGTCTACATACCGCCCCAAGCAGAGCTGAGGGGAGGCTCCTGGGTTGTGATCGACTCCACCATCAACCCTCGCCACATGGAGATGTACGCCGACCGGGAGAGCAGGTAATCGCCTCGGCCTCCTTAGTTCTGCGTCTCGCCGGGCTCCGAGGGGGGGCAAGTCACTCGCTCAGCAGAGCAAGGGATGATCATGGGACACGGAGCTGGGCAGCAGGCGGGGCTGGACCGCGCGAGGCAAACTGACCATCAGGGTCTGTTGCTCGCTCAGTCTGCAGCAGCATCCCCGGTCGCTTGTCCAGCCTCTCGCCTGCCCAGCATAGCATGGCTGAGGGCCAGGAATGCTGGGAGTTAAGATCCAAACGTTCTGGAGCACCCGGGATGCTCTGGGCAGACCATGGTCCACATCCGAGGCCACCTTCAGGCTGCTGCCTGAAAGGGGGATTGGAAGCTGGCCAGTGGTGACCACCAAGACGGAAGGCCTCTCCACTGAGGCCCAGCTGGCGCCAGCATTTGCCAGCTTCGTTCTTCGAGGGGAAATGCCCGCTGTAGTAGCCCTTCCCAGAGCCAAAATAAGGCAGATAAACTGGCTGGAACATGCTAGAAGTTGTTCACTTTTAAAAATCCCAAACATGGGTAAGATTGTGCCTTAACAAATATAAACTACAATATTCTGAATCAACTGATATGTAGGTGATGCGGTATGCCAAAGCAAAGCAGGTTGACCTCCAGTGCTACAGCTGTTTGATGAATTTTTAAAGGTTAAAATTTTTAAAATAAGTAGCTGTAAACATTTTAATACACATATAATTTTTATTGTTTTTCAAAATCTGTAAAATCTATGAACTAGATACACTAAAAATGGTCTTTTGTTTTGTTTTGGAATACTAATATCTGAAGAAATTAAATGCAGTGTGATGCAGAACAATAAACGGCACCAGAATCAATGCTTAATAACCTGGACTTTGGTCTCTGCGATGCCTTGAGGAAAGAAGGCCTTCGCCAGGCAGTGAAAGGATAGCAGCGAAGGTGCCGGGCGAGCCTCTGTCGGGAGTTTGCCCCCAAAGCGAGGAGCGCCCTCTCCCTTGTGGCCAGCAGCCCGGCTTCCTTTGCTTGGGGCCACTCGGGGGGTGGGGGGCTTCTCGAGACAAGCTGAGCAGGTGCCCGTGGCAGGAGATGCACTAGGAGACCCTCCGCTGCACGGGCGTCTCTCACCTGTCCCTGGCGCCATGCGTAATCAGAAGCGAATGTACAACTTCGTCACTTCCTCTTCACGCAACTCAAACTGGTTCGGACGAGTTTATCTGTAATCGGTTAACGCCAAGAAGGCCCGCCCTTGCATCTGAACAATGCGAATGGGTGCTAAATTCAGCATTTTGCTCTCCGGTGCTCTCCTCCCAGCATTTCTGTCAGATTCAGATAGCTCCTGGTGCTTTGCCATTGAATCTGCCCGGGGGTCTCTTGCCCCTGAGCCCTCAGGGGGGAGAGCGTGCTCCCCTGTGACTCATTCCGCCTCGGGTAGCTCGGCCTTGAGGAACGCACCTCCCTTTTTCTTGCTCCCCACGTTTAGAGGTGGCATCCTGGAGCCTGAAGGAACAGTGGAAATCAAGTTCCGCAAGAAGGACCTGGTGAAGACGATGCGGCGCGTGGACCCCGTCTACGTCCAGCTGGCAGAGCGTCTTGGTAAGTCTTGGTGGAGGCGTAAGGCAAACGGCGAGCCTGGTTTCTTAGGGGCGTTAGCCTGCCTGTCTTGGCTGGCGGATTTCCAGTTTGTTTGGTCTTGTCTGTTCCCTTGTCATATCAAGGGATGCTTCAGGTTAATCGCTGGTAGGCAATAAGAGGTTGAGATTTGCAGAAGCCGCGACAATCACTGCAAAACTCGTTTATTTGTTTTAATCATGTGTTCTTACATGTGGTGTCTACTTGGGCATTTGCTTAAAACTAGGACAGATGACAAATAAATGCATAGCAAATTAATAATCAAATTCATCTAGCGGTTAAAAAATATATGCCCGCGTAGTCGAAACCGTATCAGCAATAACAGACAACTGGCTTTCATATAAAAATTTTTTATGATGGATCAGTGCATCATTTCAGTCCATCAGATTTCTAATGAAAGTGCCTACCAGAACGGCATGTGGCGATTGCCATCTTTAAAAGGGCTTTTTTCTCTCCCTTCCCGTTAGAAGGGTAGATGCCTCTTTGAAGTTGTGTACATGGACTATAGCAGGCATCGTTGTTAATCCATGTGTTTGCCCCACTGATGTTGGTATGACTCACCAGTTTCAACTGATGGCCAGATCCTAGGCAGAGGGCAGGAGGTTCTTTGGGGAAATCCATGGGGGCATCCTGTGCTGGACCAGAACACGAGCCACATGTCCCCTGGCGAAGGGACAGGGCTGCCTGCAGGCTGGAATCCCTCGACAAAGAGCTCCTTCCTGCCTCGGCAGGCTTCCTGTGCAGCAGCTGCATTCCAGCTTGGCTCCAGGCAGCTTGGAGCTGCCATTTTAATTTCCCGCAATGCAATACACTGATGCTGCATTACTGACTTTGTGGAAAATCTAAATGGCATCTCCGGCACCAAGATGCTTCTGTTTTAAAGTGGGGTCTGGCAGGTGCAGAAGGATGGCCTCGCGGCCAGCATGGGGGCTGCCTTTAACTGCCTGCCAGAGAGTCCTCCGCATCGTAATTTACAGCCAGGTAACTTCAGCCATCGCTCAGTGCTGCAGGACGTGCCTCTTGCTGATCACCGAAGCTGAAGCAAAAAGACCTTTTCCGTGGTATATGGGAAGGTAACCCCCATTTAGGAGAAATGGAGAACTCCTCGCTGTTCTGTCTTGCACCTGCTGCAGGCAGGACCGGTGGTGATGGATGGATGCGCATCATGTTGCTCCTTCCCTGTGACTCTGGCAGATGAGGACATCAGTTGTGCTGAAGGGGCATCCTCCCACCCACACCCACGATTTGGCTCTGCTAGGAGACCCTCCCTCCCTCCCTCCCAGGTTGTGTGAAACCTTCCAGTGCCTGCCATCAGTCACATAGGAGGGAAAAGGAGCACTTCGCTATGGGGGGGAACCGCTTCCATCTTGAGCTGTTTTCCTGTGAAGGCTGCATGGGGTCTGCATGCGTGCATTTTTAATTCCTGGTAGCACCAGTCTTCCCAGAAACAAGCTAATGAGTCACAGGCAAAGCCCACGGCCTTAATTAAAGTGGTGGCAACACCAAAGACGAGGTCCTTCACAACCATCCACAGAGAGGGAGCGAGCATTAAAAGCTTCAGTTGCTGATAAGTGTCTTGCTTAGATGGCTGGTAATTGCTCTCAATGCTGGCGATCAGTGGCTCCCCCTCCCACCCCTCCGGCAAGAGCAGGAAGAGCCAAGATTGTAGGACACAGCGCATTGCATAATTTCTCTCCCCTTTTTCCCCCTTTTTTGCTGGTTTTTCTTTCTGGCCAATTTAAAATTTGTCAAAGCCGGTCGTCTTCTGGATCGCTGGCCTTTGATATTTTGCGCACTCCATTTGCCACAAACAAGCCGCAGGGCCGCGGTTCGTGCTGACTCCAGCAGAAGAGAGAGAGTTCCATTTATCTTACACCGCCCGCTGCATATTGCTCATTAGCTTGGGGTTCACTGCCTCTCTTAACCCCTGAATAGCTGCCATCATTTCCACCGAGCGGCGGCTTTGTGGAAAGAGGGGTCGCTGTGTCGAGGTGCCGCTCGCGCTGGGCGGAGTGTTGGGGACGCTTGCAGGTGCGGGCCACGGCGCCACCGAACGCACGCATTTCCATTCAGGGCCTCTTTCAAGCACTGGTTTTTTCCACTGGCTCTGGGTGGGAGGCAGGATGGGAAAATACTGAATAATGTGACACTGATCTGCTAATTACCAATTTCCAAGCGCCCCAACTGAAATCTTTATTCGTTTTGTGTTTATTAAAACATCGCTTGCATCGCAATGTGTTGTGCCTTGGCAGAACCCGGAGAGCAGGGCGAGACATCTTGGCATTAAGGTGCTTCAACTTTCTGGACTCCGTGGTTTTGGTTACTTTGCTCTGCCCGTTGGGATGACGATTTATTTGTCGAAAGTGTTAACCAGAAACTTGCCAGGAATACCCCTGCTAGCCTTAAAAGTAACGTCTTGCTTGGTATGTGTCCTTCAAAAACTGACTGTAATTCAACATACATCCAAGCCCGTTTTTAATTCAACACAATCGGCCTGTGGAACTCCTCGCCTCTAGTTTACATCCACTGGGTGAATTCATGGAGGGGCTCATCCCTGGCACAGGCTTGTTAGTCAGGAGGGCAGTGATGACGATCGGGCGCCTCTTTTGCAGGGGGCGGTGGATGGGGTGATAAGGAGGGTGTGCGCTGGCTTACTCTGTGCTTTTCACAAGCCCTGCAGACTGCCTGGCTGGTTGATACCTGCAGTGCTGTTACTCTGAAGTAGTGATCCAAACAATTTCGGAGGGGCCAAGGCCTGGGGCATTCTCAGGAAGTGAACTTGGCTGCCCTAATGAGGGAAAGCTTAGAGAGGGGCAGCTCTGACAGTGGGACCAGTGGTGACCCCCGCCCACCGGCTCCTGTGCACACACTGTATGCATAGCATAGTCCAGAAAGGATTTTACCGCTCACCACTTTGGAATGTATAAACCAAAAAAAGTATTGAGCAGATTCTTGGAGAATGATTCGATAATTTGTGGTCAGATGGCAGGTAGTGGAGCCTCCCCATTCAGAAGCAGTGTGTCTGAAATCATAGGACCGTGGAACTCAAGCCTTGGGCCTGAGGTTTGGCAGCCCTGCCTTTATCCAATGAGCAGCTGCCTTGTGCCGCCCCTTTGGGTTTCTCCATCCTGCCTGATCTGATGAGGAGAGGAAATGGACGAACGGTAATTTCCTGCCGATCAAAGGGTTCGTGTGGGTCCACAAGCCGTGCCCCCAGGAAGCACGGCATTGTCCCCCGGCTGTGGACCCCACAAGCCACTGACTCAGAGGATAGGAAGGAATTTTCAAATTAAATCGGGATGGAGAATTTGTAAAGGGGACACTTGTAAACTGAAGGTCTGTCAAAATCATTTTTGCCCAACGGATGAGTCTGGATCTCCCTCTCGTGCGCAAAAGTTGTCTCTGTGTCTGTTAACAAAGTACGTTGATCCCAAAAGTTACAGGGAGCCGTGATTCACGGCTCGGCTGAGTAATTTTTGCCTGGCGGGAACTTTACTCAAGTTGGCCAGAGCCTGATGTCCTGGGAGGTCGCAGTGGCTTGCAGGGCATCCTCAGCAGCACCTGCTCTGCCCCGAGACCCGCTGGAGGCACCGCTGCACCTTTTGGCATGCTGGTTTGTGGGCATCCATCTCCTCTTAAGGCAGCAGCAAGCAAACCTCTCCGGACTGGGTTTTTCCAGAGTGCTGCTCTACTCTGTGGGATCCGAAATGATTATTTCGGCATCGGGGGCTTGGCGGGCATGGTGTGGCCAGACCTCTGCAGCTCTGGGGGCGGAGAGGAAGAGGCCCGTCCCTTCCAAAGGCTTATGCGCCGCCGTCTCCCTCCAGTTCCGGGACAGCCTTGCAAAGGAACGCGCAGCACACTCCCGGTTGCCCTCAAATCATCCCGCCAGCCTCCCCAGGCAGGAACAGTGTGTGGCAAGAGGTGCACCCACTGCTTTCTCACACAGCCCGACCGCATTTTATTGACCGACGCGCTTACATCCCGCTTTTGTCTCCCTGGGGCCCAGGGTAGCACAGCCGGTCCTCCTCCCTGCCTTCTCTTGGCAGCAGTCCCGGGAACGGGTGAGGCCGAGTCAGCGGCTGGCTGGCCCGAAGCTGCTCAGCCGGCTTTTATGGTCAGGTGGGGAGCAAACCTCAGGTCTCGCGGGTCCCAGGCCAGCGCTCCACCTGCTCTTCTTTACTGCCTTTTGGGCATGGCCAGAATGCCTTTCCGTTCAGGGTTGGGCTGTGGGAGCCAAATCCGTGGCGGGATGGGGATTTTACTAGTCAGGACCCACAAAGGCGAGGAGCAGGTGTGGGGGAACCCGTGTTTCCTGCTGGAGGGTCCCCTTCCTTTTTTACATTTTTAGTAGCTGGTTGCTCTGCCCTGACCACCAGGAGAGCCCGAGCCTTGGGTCCAGGCTTTTCAGGGAAGTGGAAGCGTCCACCTTCAGTTGCTGTTTTTAGAGTAAGTGGTAAACCGTTTTGAAAATGCACACACACCTTTTGCTAAAACAAGCTGCACCCCACTATTGCATTGTTCATGGAAAGCGGATTTTCACAATTCTGCTCTGCTAATCAAGAGGAAGGGAGCACTGTAGTGGGCCACCAGGTCCACCCACCCTTCCGAAATTTCGCCAGCCACATGTCCCTTGAAGTCATAAGGGCTAGAATCTTGGTTTTTCTTTTTAAACAAGTAAAACTGATATATTTGGGATGCAGAATTTTGTGCCCAAATATTTTTCTAAGCTTGTGTTGTGCAGTTTACATCCACACAGGCCCTCAAGCAATGGTGTGTGTGTGTGGTGGTGGTGGGGGGGGGAGTTCCTCACAAGCTTCCATCTCCTTTACCTTGTTTTCCAATTCCTTCAGTGTTTTCTCTTCCCTCCAACCCAACCAAACTCACATCAATATTATTTTCCTAACAATTCCAAGCACACCATTGGCTCCATATTACTCTTGGTTTCACTGGAAAGATCAGCAGCTACAAAGGTTACACATATTTAGCCATTTTTAATATTTCACAAAGGTGGATTTTTGTAGAACATTTAAATGAATAAAGGGAATAGCTCAAATGATGCTTTTCTGTCAGTCACGTCCCACCCGGGACAACGACAATAACAACAAACTCGCCATCATAAAGTCTTAGGATTGACGATCTGGCTGCAAAAGAAAGAAACCTATTCCGATTCCGTGATATTTAATTGTACAGGGGGCTTATGGAATTGATTTGGGAGCTTAGCCTTTTACAATAGCCAGTGAATAAGAAATGTTCTTGACAATCAATCAATGATAGCATAATCACTCTTTATTCTCCTTCCCGCCTTCCTTTCCTTCATTGTTAGCATCTATCTTTTTTTCAGGAGAACAAGGTTCAGAAGCCAAAAATCTTTATAGACGCCACTTTTAAATTAAGCAGAAAATAGATATTGACATATTTGTTAATCTCACCTGGCTCATTACTGGGTCTGCTCAGGTTGCTTCAACAATGTGAGGTCGGCAGATGGTCCAGAATGCACGAACGTTCGCTTCCTTAAGAACTACCAGTGTCCTTTCTTCCCATTCCTAAGCAGGCATCATAGCTGGGTATTTAAAAATAAGTTTGGCACACGCACAGTTCCTGTCCTTTCATGCCTGATGGTGTAATAAAGTCATTGTGGTGCTCTTGGGGTTGTGTGTGAAAAATTGGGGGCTATTCCCATGCAAGGCACAGTTTAGGAATGCAATCTGTAATTCAACAGATGTGTATCTCAGTTGCTGTAAACTCCAGATTCTTACGTATAAGGTCAGTGTTTAAAATTTGTATGTGTAAGATTATGCTCTGGTTTTCCATTCCGTTTTGATTTCATACCTTCCTCCTTTCTCGTCAGCCCTACAACGCCTTCCTTTCCAGTTCAATGCACTTTACTTTTTTTTAGCAGTTTTCTCCTATATAATTGCCTAAAATCTTATCCCTGACCCCAAAGCTTAATCATTGACAGCTAGTGGCGGGCAAGGTTTGAAATAATTTGTGTCTCCTTCTCCCAAAGTTCCAGGAAATTTCTCCAAATAATTCTCAGTCTTTCTGAGTTTTTCTTCATCAGAAGTGTACATTTTTGTGTAATTATATCTCTGCACCTTCAGGCAGAAGTGTTCCCAGAGCAGGTGAAAGAAATTATATAGTAACAGAGTACAATATCAAAACTACCTCCCAAAGCTCAGAAAAGCCTCCGAAGGTCAGGGCAGAAGAATTTTTAAAAACATTTCAGGAAATCTTGGCTGACCAGCTGCTGTTTTTATTGGTATTATCTTCTTAATCCTTCAAAATGCAGTAACACAGGCACCAGGCAGGCCTCCCTAGAAACAGCATTTTCAATACATGGTGTTACCACTGAAAAGGCCCACTCTTGCCACACGTCCGTCTTGAGAATGATGCTCAAGCCATATATAGCTGCTCCTAAAGGGGCATTATATAAGAATTACACTTCCAAGATGCTCTTTACCTCACTGCTGAAAGGATTTGCAGAGCTTGGGAATGAAAGTGGCTATTGCTGGAGCTCAATCAAACCATTAAGGGTACGATCATATGGCTGTTTTGATTGGGAAAAAAGTTCCACAGCTCCCAGCCCTTCCACGGCTGGGAAACCCCGGCAGGCTTCCTTCAAAACATGGGCTTGATTTGGCCCAAAGTCTGAGGAAGAATATGCAGAGGTGAGCCTTATTTTGGGTGTACTTGTCTTTCTGCTTTAAAATACTTATTGTATCCTAGTATATTCTCCTTTGCCTAATGTGTTTGGGAGCTATAGCTAGTTCAGCTTAAGGGGATGCACGGAGAGTGCCGGGTGGACAAGCTGAATGCGCAGCTACAACATTAAGGGGGGAATTGTAAAGAATTCTGCCCTGTGAGGGCAGGAAGAATTTTGTTTCATGATAAGAATTTTATGCTTGCAGTTTTATTTGCACTTTTGTAAATGTGATGTTAACCAGTTAGTTCACAGATACACTATGGAATTCACTTCCATAAGATGGACTGCTGGCCACCAGTTTGGATGGCTTTGAAAAGGGGCTGGGCAAGTTCATGGAGGAGCCTATCAGTGGCTACTAGCCCCAGTGATCGCAACAGATCACAACAGATCAGATAGCAACAGATCAGTATTATTGGTGTAGTGACAGAAGATGACACCTGTTTCTGTTTTCTTACTGTGCCCTAGTACATTTTATTTGTGTATTTCTGTTACATTTATGGCCTGCCTTTTTCCCCTTTAAGTTGGTCAAGAGCAGTGAACATGCTTTGTCCTGCTCTGGGGTTGATCTTCAGAACAACCCTGTGAGGTAGGCTAGGCTAAGAATCAGGCACTGGCCCAAGGCACCCGGGAAGCTTCATGGCCGAGCAGGGACCTGAAACCAGATCACCCTGGTATTCCTGGAAGGGAGCGCAGGAGTCGGAGGTCTGGGGGCGAGGGAGTGACCGCCACTCGTCCCTGCCTTTTCAGCCCACCTTAACACCAGTCTCTGTATCTCCCCCCCCCCCCATAAATTCAGCCTCAGTTTATGGTTTTGGATTCACTCTGCATGATTTGCTCTCTCTCTGGATTTATGTGCATTGCATCAGATGGCGAGTTTTTGCCAGGTGGAGTCGCTCATGCCGGGACACCCAGAGGGGCAAGGATGAGTGTGTGTGTGTTGTGTGGAGGGGGAGAGTGCCTTTGGGGGCGATGTGGCTACTCACCCCTGAACAGGCCCTTCAGCAGAATGGCTGTTTGGAAGCTCAGGCCGCTGGGAGAGGCCCTGGCCCCCCCTTCGCGCACGCAGCGCGCTCGCTCGTCTCCTGGGTCTCTGGCAGGCCTTTCTTTTGATTTCAGGCACCCCAGAGCTAAGCCAGGCTGAGCGGAAGGAACTCGAGACCAAGCTGAAGGAGCGGGAGGAATTCCTGATTCCCATTTACCACCAGGTAGCCGTGCAGTTTGCTGACTTGCATGACACGCCCGGCCGGATGCAGGAGAAGGGTGTCATTACGGCAAGTATTACCAGCCCCTTTCTCGCTGCTGCTGTCAACAGCTCCCGTGTGCGTGAGCACGCACTTAACTGTCGCGGAGCAAAATTCCAACGGGACCGGGGCAGAGGGTCTTGGCCATCGTCTGATGGAGACGAGGCGTTCGCATTAAACGTTGAGAGGGGGGAAAGTTCAACAGCCCTGGGCTGTGTGTCCTTGTTTCTGAAGTTCGGAATCTTACCGCTTCTGCAAGGAGACAGATTCCAGGATGGATTGCCAATGGGCACGAAGCTCCCAAGGCTCCGGGTGTAGAGGAGGGCAGGCAGGGCTTCCCACCTGGCCTCTGGGCCATCTAGCCCATCCGAGAGGCTCCGCACCTTTCCCCACAAGCGCCCAGCCGCCCTCCGCACCACAGAAGGGCTGGCGTGTAGCGGTCGAGTCCCACAGGGTCCCGTGTGGTAAGAGCTCCCGCAAGCCTGTGAGAAGGGGACCCCACTGACCATGAGGGAGCAAGTACTGGAAGGTTTTTCCTGGCGTCTGTGATAGAGATAATGCGTATCTGTTACATATTGATGGTTCTGGCTGCAGTAGGTAGCAGGGTTGTTGCAAAATGCTGGAAGAATAACAATGCAGTGCCCCGGGCATATTAAAGGAAGAACTGGACCAGGTACCGTATTTTTTACAGTGTGGTAAGCATTTATTTCATACCGAAATGATGAGAGTATCATCTGTGGGCTCAACATGCTGATGGGTTTCCAGGGGATGCCCCGTGAAACTGATGCTCCAGCAATAGCATCTTCTAGTAGAAAAATAAATGTTTTGTTAGTGGCTGTAAAGCTTTTAAATAAATAAAATTTACCAGGTGTTTAATAAATAAAGGGCTTCAATTAAAAGAAATAAGACGCCTAGCACAACCTTTCAAGGTTCCTGTTATAGGGATAAGAGTGCGAGGAGGAGGAGGAGACTGACGGAAGCCACTTGGAGTGCTTTAAAAAAAAGGAAAAGGTGGGATATGAAGCAAATTAATAAATGCCATTTTGGAGAAGTACTTGTGAAATGCCTGCTCCCTATCATACAAAAGGTTTAAATACAAATAATAAAATACATAAATCTTCATGCTATAGCGCATTCTCTGGTCTTTGTGTGAGTTCAGAGTCGGTTGGAAGACTCTCTTCCTGGCTCCACTTGATTGTGTGTGTGTGTCTGTGGATTCCATGGCGCTGCAGCGGGGTGTTCCCCATTTCCCTATTAAAGGCGTCTGTGTTTGTCTTGCAGGATATTCTGGACTGGAAGACGTCGCGTACTTTCTTCTACTGGAGGCTCAGGCGGCTTCTCCTCGAAGACCTGGTCAAAAAGAAGATTCATGGTGCGAACCCCGAACTGACAGACGGCCAGATCCAGGCGATGCTGAGGCGCTGGTTTGTGGAAGTAGAAGGCACTGTCAAGGTACAGATGAAACATTTTTTTTTACTCAAAAGTTCCCTCTTGGTGTTTTTTTTTTGTTTTTTTTAAAGTGAAGTTTCTGGTTCTTATGGATGTAGTGTGAAAGGCTGATGAAAACTGAGATTAAGATACAGGTGCTGTTAAGTTTTCTGGGATCTAGAGGTGGAGCAAATCTCCTTGGATTACTGGCAGGCTTGGTAAGACTGAGTTGCAACAGGCGACAGAACTCGGCTTGCTTCTGTGCAGAATTGTCATTCTTAAAAGCAGGTACTGCAGACTTGGATCAACCCTGGTGGATGAAAATCCGCCAAGTTACAACTATTTCAGGTACTTTCCCAGTCTCAGTATAGCCATGATTGTGAAGCGGTATCTGTTAAGCTACATGTTCTGAAAATAGCACCTTTGGAACATGCTAGGAATTAGAATTCCCCACGGAGACATTTCCCCAAGCTTGCATGCAGCTGGTTAGTTTGGGTGGTTCTCTTTAGTTCTTGTCCGTTAGTTGGAGATGCTCTTCTAGGCAGTACATTTCATTGCCTCATAGAGTAACACCTTTTATATACGTGTATGAAATGGCGCCACAAAAGCACTGAGCACAGCTTCTCGGGTGGCTTGGAGCACACCGTTGTGGCAGCAGCGGGGCAGGTCAGGAGCTGCAAGAGCGGCCTTCCTTCCCGCTCGGCCCACCCGCTTTCTGGCTTGGCAGAGTTTCCCCTCAACCACTGTTTGCAATCTCCATTTCGACACTCGCTGCACTTTTGGCGGGCTGTGTGGGCTTTTTTTTGCAATGACATGTGTAGGTGTGAATGGTAATGTCCCTGTTTTCTTAAAACCTTTTTAAAAAGAACCAGAGTTGTGACAGATAGCTTGCAAACCTCTGTGCTCCAGGAGAAGAGGTGGGTTCTTGGGGACCTAGAATTCCAGGAATGGTTGGCTCTGGAACCTATCACGGAACACAAAGTTCCTGAGGTCCCCAGTGCTGAGGGAACTGCTTTGAATTGACAGTTTGACATCTGCCCAGGTAAGGGAAAGTAGAAAAACCAAATGTGAAGCAAACCTGCTAGGACCCTGCCTGGGGGGGGTCAGTGTCCATGGTCAGTACCCACCGCACCCTGACTGCAGCCCCCGGGACATCAGCCAGGGGAGACCTGTGGAAATGCGCACAGCGGCCCCTTCAGGGTTGTGCAGGCCTGGCTAACACACCAGTAATAAAAAATAACCCACTTATAATAAATAACAATGAAACTATTTGCACACTGAGACACAAAACAACAGGGTGGCAAACCAGTGACAGCCCCTCCAGCGTGCCTGGCTCTAGGCCAGGCCCTTTCAGTCCTGAGATCCCAGATTTCTCTGAGTCCATTCTCTTTGATCTAGGAGTTCCCATGTCACTTTCCAAGAAGCTGTTTTGGGAGGGATGTCCCCTCACTCCAGTCTTGGGAGCAAATACAGTTGCCAGTTTCCAACCCTTGCAATAGGAACTTGGCAAAGAATCAAACTAGTTAGGTGGCTCGTCTATTTAAAAAACCATAATCTGAGATAATTTTGCCGTTAGCTTTTAATTTTTGTTTCTTTATGCGTCAATTTTAACACAAATATTTTTTGCGATGGACAGTCTCCAGCATCGCTAGTAGGCATTACATCCTTTTTGTGTTGTGACTTGAAGAAGAAACAAAACACATAGATCATATAGACTCTGGAATGCTTTAGGGCTCTAAAAGGAAAAGAGAAAGAGGAAAGGGGGGGGGAGTTTTTCTTTGGAGCATCTGAGCATCTTTTTTTTTTTCTTTTTTTAAGCCAGGCATCTAGTTAGCTAATACATTACACCAATCAAGGAAAGTTATCTTAAGCCACAATTAATCTGCTCCCTGGCATATGTTGATAGGAAAGCATCATGCTGTTTCTTAATTAAAGGCAAACGGATTAAAAATGATTAATAAGAGTATTAAATATTCGCCTAAACTAAAAGCTTTGGGATTCTTCAGCAAATCCTAGCTTTACGCAGGTCTGCAAAGTGGCAGGCATTTACAGCTGGGATGGGAGGAGGTGGCAGCGGGGGGAGGAGGGGGGGCTTCCTCCTCCTAGAGTTTGCGAGTGCCTTGCTTTGTAGGTGGGAGAGAAGGGCATTGTCCTTGCCTCTCGGGGTGAAGCACAAGAGCAGCAGTTGCAATTTTAAAATAATCACCGTTGCAACGAGCCCTGTACTTACTGCAGTTATTAGTCACTAGCTTCCATCAGAAGTTTCTTCCTTTAATCTCAGGTTCGAATCTTGTTTTCACACTAATTTAACAGGGCTGGGATTGGAGGCAACTCCAGTCTCTGAGGTGAAGGCAGCTCCCCAGCTTCCTTTCCAGGTAGTTTCCTTTTCCAGGTGATACAGCTGGGAGTTCTATGCTTTCCCATGAAGCCAGCAATGTTTTACTGAATATTGTTACGAATGCATGAGGAAGTCATTTGAGCCTGTTTGTGTCAGAATTTGACTTTGCACCTTCTGGGACAAACCTTACCTTGAACAGCCTGTGGGCAATGTCTCTGCCTCTCCAAGCTTGTACTCTAATTCACAGACCAGAGAAAAAAGCATCCAACAACATCACACTTGCATTTTAAAATCCGCCTGCACAAGTACACAAACATCCTTTGATCAATGGAAAAAGAATTAATGCCTTTCAGAGATGTGTAAAATTGAATGTTTGGAAAAATACACAAAAAATACACACACAAAATGTTTAGAATCTCTATTCCAAGGAGGAAATAACCCCATAATGAGATGAGTCAGAACAAGATTCTAGGTGGAGTTCAGAGAACAATTTTGCTGATTCACACATATCTAAATACACTGGAAAGCTACCTTTGTGTATGGAAATCAATGTCTATAGATTTTTATTTAAAAAAACTGTTTTCTACAATATCTGAACTTGTTTACTTTTTAAAGCCAGTTTGCCCCCGATGCATCAGTAAAAACGAGTACTCTAGATCTCCCAATGATGGCTTCTCCTTTGAATAAGCAATGGTAATTTTTGTGAAGAAAACATTTTTTATTTCTGCTTCCCAATCTTTAAACTGTAAGGTGGGCACTTAGTGGACTGCACGTCCCATCAACCTTAGCCAGCAGAGCCATGGGTGAGGACCGATGGGAGCCTGGCGATCTACAAGCTTTACATGGAGAACCCAGGATTGCCTGCCTTTTCGTTGAGCACAAAAATGCGTCCCAGCCCAGATGTTTCAAAATCCCATGTCACACCATTCCAGCAGATAAACACCTGAAAAAACCAACCCCTGTTCTCCACATCAAGGATCACTAGCAAATGCAACACAAGCCCCCCCCCCCCCCAATTTGGATGATTTTTCAAAGTAACATTTCCAAGCTCCTTTCCTCCCGTGATATACTTACGGATAACCTTCTGAGAAAGACTTCTTAAGTTCTTATGACTTGGTGCATAGAGTAAGTACCATTTGCTTATAGAAGGGCAGGGCGTGGATCTGTTTAATGAATTGGTCTGTATGGTCTGTACTCTTTGGGCTCCAGAGAAATCATGTCCTCCTTTTTAAAAAGTAAGTAGCCAGCCCTTTTGGCTTGCATTAACCTGGTTTACATATATTGGCAAAACAAGAGGTCACAGAAAATTTGACTGTGTTTTTCTGTTGGAGGGTGATGGTCATGAGGAAATAATCTGGAATCCTTCCCTCGGCTGTAGCGTTTGGCCCATGCCTCGCCTCGCCTCGCCGGGGTGCCCCCTATGGGAAGCCGGGCAGCTGGCCCAAACCCTCCAGCCGCAAGCTGCCTCACGTCTGATTTTGAGGTGCTGCCTGGTGAATCATGATGTGGAATTTTCATTGTCAGTCTGACTTGGACTTCATTAGCAAGATAACAGAGAAGGATAGTGCACCTTTAAATGATGAGCTTTGGTGTTTAATTACCCAAATAAAATGACATAAATATGAATGAGCGCTAATGGTGGTACTTGGTTTTTTCCGGAAACCATTAACGATTCTTAAATGATTTGTAAAGAAAATGAGAGGCAGGGAGAAGCAGCGAGAAGGCTATTAAGCTTCTAACACACTCCTGAATGATTATATAGTCAACTACCTAGCAAATACAGAGCTAAGTGATCGTACAACCCCCTACCCCCAAAAAACGTTTTTAAAAAGATTTGCTACCAGAGTGCCCCCACCCCTGCGCTGGATGATATTTTGACCTCCCTTGTAATGTTCATTACGTCCAAAATGGGGGTTAGGTTTCATGACTGCTTACAAGAAGTAGGTTTGTTGGGTTTTCCAAACAATCTCTATTTTTGTCTTTTTCATTGCTTGTGCAAAGCCAATGAGGACTAGCAGCTTGCTTAAAATAAAGCTGGCTTTTGGAGAATACAGCAGAAGCTTCTTAATTAGATCACTCTGTGTATTCTAACCATGTGGCTGAAGCTACATTAAGGCTTAGATTTCCATACCTGCACTTGATCTGACTAGGATCGGAGTGGAGAAAGAGTAGGGAGCTCGTGCAGCCCCATCCTTCCGCTGAACTGAACTGCAGGCGCTCCTGTTTTTCCCCTCGGCAGGCCTACTTGTGGGATAACAACAGAGACCTGGTGGAGTGGCTGGAGAAGCAGCTGGCAGAGGACGAAGGCGCCCGCTCGGTGGTGGATGAGAACATCAAGTACATCTCCCGCGACTACGTCCTCAAGCAGATACGGAGGTGAGCAGGTGGCCTCGGGGGGGGCTCCCCGAGAGGGAGAATCGGCAGGCTCCGCCTCACGCGCCCTACGGCTTCCAGGGACCGCCCTTAGCAGTGGTTTCTGGATGATGCCAGCCCCTTATTTGTCCCTGCAGTCAAAGGTTTGATTCGGGCTTGGGGCGGACCTAGAACTTCCTGCCGGCTGAGCGAAAGCGCCTTTCACTGTGCAAGCTCGATGGGTCGTTTACACCCCCACGGGGCCGCTGCTTCTAATTTGGCTTTACCATCTGGTCATGGCTACGTTCTTTGCTACGGGTTTTAGTCTCCCCTGCCTCGCTCTTCCTGTTCGAACGTTCACCCCGTGTTTTTAATGTAGTGCACGATGCCTTGCAAACGTTTGCTGAAAACACCAAAGTCCTGACCTGCACTTACCCGCTTGTGCTCTGCCCTCGCCCTAGCTTGGTCCAGGCCAATCCAGAAGTCGCCATGGATTCCATCGTCCACATGACCCAGCATATATCGCCGACCCAGCGGGCCGAGATCGTGCGCATCCTCTCCACAATGGACGCGCCTGCCTCGACGTAAGCGGCTGGGCCGCGCTCCTTCACCTTCCTGACCTGGCCCCATGTTGGGGAACAGCTGGAAACGAGACGGATTTCTCTCATTTTTTAAAATTGGACTGGAATTGCAGAGCGCACCCTTTTAGTTACAGAAAAATCCAGGACGACAGGCTCCCCCCAAACTAACTTATGAATGTCTTCTAACGGTACCTATTTATTTAACAACGCCCGACTGGACCGACCTCGTTCGTGCAGTGCTACCAGGAGATCATGACAGGTACTGCGGCACCTCGAGGTCTTAAATGGAGCACAGAACACACGAGGGCCTTCAGCCATGTCCCTGGCACAAACCTCGAGGACATTTTCGCCCAGAGCATCCACTGCTGAATCCACCCCGTCCTCCTAAGTGCAAGCATCCAGACCGGGTGGATGGCTGGAAGCCCGCAGGGACCGGCTGCCGGCAAAGTCGAACTCTTCACTCTGCCGCTGCTCAACCAGCTGGTTTTTTTTGGTGCCTGAGATGTTTTTATCTCTTGGGGTGGAGGGAGGTGAGCAAGATATGCCTGTGGAGTGGAAGGGGCAAAAGGGCAATGCCTTCGCGGGGTTTAGTTTTCATTTCTGTACCTGTAAACAGGGCTTCAGTGGCTTCATGACTCTGTTTACATGCCATGAAAAGAGACACGCTATCCGAAGAGCGGGTAGAAGATATTTCCCACCTTCCCATTTGATGTAAAACCTCGGGGATGCCTCCTTTCGGGGGCACTGGAGAAGGGCCGTTGGTACGTTCCCTGTTATCGGAGAAGGGTTAAAGTTCCCGGCTGAGAGCCGGTGCGGTGAGCTGGTGGGAGCGCTTGACAGGGGACCAGCTCTGAGTCCCCACGTGGCCTCGGAGCCCACTGATGACTTTGTGCCAGTCACTCACTCTCGGCCTGCCCTACCTCACAGGGTTGTTGTCACAAGGATAAAAACAAAGCGGAGGAGAAGTATGTGAGCTGCCTTGGATTCCACTCTCAAGCAGAAAAGGGCAGGTTACATGTGCAATGTAAAAATAATAAATAAATATTGAAGCAAGAGGGGAACGGCTCCCTTCTGAACTGCTGTGTCCTGCCAAACAACCCTCCGGGGTTTTAGGAGAGTGCTGCCCCCATGCCAGGGGAACGAACGCTGGCTGCAGCCCTCGCCTCATTCCCCCCCGCCCCGCAGACTTCGCTGGGCCCTGATGCCCCAGCCTGCGCGGATGCCTTCACCTCCAGCAAGCCATTAATGTCGTTCTACCTCCTTGCTCTGACTTGAGAAGGGGAACTTAGAGTTAAATCATCTGCCGTGAAAAAGGCATCACCCGATGGGGAGCGTGTAACGCGACCGTCCCCGTCCCGCTGGCCTTGTCCCGGGAGCCCAGGGCAACAGCCACGGCCGTGAGCCTCTCGGCTGCAGAAGGGCCTGGTTTTGCATGGCATCACCTTTTGGACAAGATGGGGAGGCATGCATTGGAGGCAGTGCTGCTGCGACGGTCTAGACCAGTGATGGGAAATGTTTAGAGACCGAGTGCCCAAACTGCAACCCAAAACCCACTTATTTATCGCAAAGGGCCAGCACTAGAATTAAACCTGAAACCTAAGGTTTTTGTTTAGGGAAAAAAACTCATTGCTAGTCCAAGCAAATATACAGATCCTTGCAAGGGGACTGACCAGCCTGGCAAAAACTTGGAGGAGTCACGGGATGTGACGGCAATGCCTGGCACTGCTGCTCCTTCCCGAGCATGAGCATGGCCCCAATCTGCGCTATTATCCAAGGCTCGGCTACTGAGGCGACTTGGCTCGAGTAACGACAGAGAGGACTTTTCTGCCCGCTGTGGCACCTGTGCCATGGTATCGCCACCACTGCCCTAACCCCTAACCCTAATAGAGGGCTCAAGTTCCATTGAAAAGAGGGCAATTTTGAAAAAGCC